TACACACAATGCCTCTAACATAAACATGCTGCTCCACATGTCTATTCACAAGATGCAATACATCGTTCTCCCAACTTTGTTGAAATGGGCATGAAAGCGCGTAACCGTCACTTTTTTGAAGTTCTACTTAGAGGTGAAGTGTTTACCGTAAAAAGTCGTTAATTATTTATTTTTTTCCGTTTACTACAAAGCTCGATTCCCATAAATTTTTGTTTTTATATCGTCTCTACAGCGCTTTTACGTCGGTACTTTCGTGTTAGAGGACATCACATAATGTGCGAAAAAAACAACAAAAAAAACGGTAGGATCGATGCTGCATAGCCTTTTTTTTTTTTTGTGGACATCAAGAAAAAAAAAAAAAGATAGTAGTTGTCTTCACTTCGCACTGCATGTTTTGGCACGGAAGTTTCTATTTGGTTATGATGTCTTTACTTTCTTAAAAATTATATACCGTAATTTAAATTACCGAATTACAAAAACGTCGAAATTGTAGAATTGCTTTTCGTTGGGACGCCATGACGACAGCGACACTCGTGTTCCCTCGTGGTTTTCGCCAGCATTTCTACGATGAATTGCCAGGATCGCGAGATGCAACAGCGTGACACTCCGTCTTCTGTGACGTCATTTGTTGCACTTCGGGACAACTTTTGATGTATGGCCAGCATAAGACGCTAACCACACCAGTCGGAGACGCGCTGGAGGTGCCATAGTACTGCTCGTAAAAGTAGCTGTCACGTGCTTTGCTCCGCGACTGAGGGTTGCCAAATTACGGTGAAACGGAGTATAGACAAATCAGACTGGACGACATTTACCGGGCATCTTTAGAGCTGCGAAGCTCAAAATCACGCGTACTCATAAGATTTTTTTTTTCTCGCGTGTTTGTGATTTTTATGATGTCCTGCAAGCAAGAAAAAAATATATATGGTGAAGTCACTCCGAGGGGGTAGCGATAACTGCGAGCCACGAACATGAAGGACTCGCTAACATCCGTCAGGAGTGTGAACGGTAAATCGTCACGCAAACATATTCTCACAAGCTGCAAATATTTATTTGGCTTAGCAAGTAGAATACTAGTATACTAACGACATGTGATTATTGTACACAAGATACCATTTCTCGGTTCTTCAAAACCATTTCCCAAGTCTGAACGGTCGCGCTACGGGCCGCGGCTAGCCGTGCCCTCGATAGACTACGGAGCTGCGTTGTGTCGTCTGCTACTGTACCGCCAACAGGAGAGCGATAGCTCTGTGTGTTCCACAGATGCGTGTTGCGGTATAACTCTGTACGTCTGTCCTAGAGGAAGACAAAGAGATAGGCTCTGTGACCCCCTCCTAAGCTAATAAAAACAAACAGAAGTATACTCGTTTGGACTGAAAGGTTTACAAAATAGTGACCAGACATTGGAAAAGCATATGTCACAGAACTTGGTTTATGAAATGGCATCATTGTTTCGAGCAAGAAATCACCTGCTCACCACTGGGACGATGAAATCGTCACTATTTATTGCGTCAGGTATATTTGCGCTCATGAAGAAAAATCTGAACACATCCTTCTCCCAAAGTCCTATGTCGAATAATAAACACTTTTTTAAACATCTATGCACAAATAACTCATTTTTTTCTACACTTGTATATGCACGTTAATTGACGTCAAACCGCATTTTTGATTAGATCTTGATGTCTACACCAACTACATTCATATTTTTTAGGGCTTTATTGAACGATAACTTCAACTATAGTTAATGGAACACGATGGCTCGATCTCGACAAAAACCTCAACGTGCGAAGCTTCCACAGACGGTCGCTAGCGAGTATTCTCAATGTGAGACTTCAGAAGCTTTCGCTTGCCATAGGGAGCTTGCTTTCGACTACAGCACTGCACGGGCCCGGAAAGCGCTGCTGTGTGGAGAGGTTGACTTACAAGATGACGTGTTACGTGGTCACGTAAGATGGCGTCATTTCGTGCAGCGTGATCACGTAAGATGACGTCATTTCGTGTAACGAGATCATGTAAGATGACGTGTTTGTGTCACGTCATCACGTAAGATGACGTCAGTTCGTATGAACTGACGTCATCTTACGACAACGCCAACAACATTAGTGCCGTCCGGAACCATTGACCTTAGAAACGCGCTTCTTCGCTTGAAGAGCCGATATGCGTTGATTGTTATTTGTTTCTTTTGCCTACTACAGACCATTCAAGAACTCGCCTTCTGGGTGCCACCAACTTCGTCTACTGGGCTGTGAAGCGCGTTCGAGCGTGCGCAATACCTCTCTAGGCCGAAAGATTGTACACTGAGTATGCGTTCACAGCTCAATGACTTTGGCATTTTTCGTCAGGATAGATGCTCCCACGAGAAGAGCGTAATGGATATGTGAATAGAATTGGAAATTTGAAATGTTCTTGTCCAATCGCATTTTTCTTTGGTTATCAACGCTTTTTAGCGTCATCACAAGACGTTCAACCCATAATACACTGGTGATTAAAAAATAAGCACCGAAAAACATGCACCGATTTTCGCTCAAAAATAAACACCGGAAAAAAACGTACCGTAATCATTACCCATGTCACCTTTTTGGGTGATATGTGAATTTCCAGAAGAACAGCGAGTTATCACCCTCCCCTAGGAATACCCTGACTACAGAGCAGGCGACCCGTTTTTCCCCGCGTTAGATTGTGGTGACCACGAACCGTACGGAGGTCACAGGACGTCCGTGAAAAATAAAAAGGAGGCAAACAACGATCTACTCTGTGCACGCTTCATCCCCAATTTCCACGACCCCAAGGCCGAAGGACGTTTGTGTGAAGGATAACGATAAAATAAAACTTTGCGTCAAAAAAAAAAAAAAAGCCCGTTTAAAAAAAAAAAAAAAAAAAAAAGTAGAAACAAGCACAACGCGTTGACGGACCGCGAGGTTGTGGAACACCTCGCGGTCCGCTTGCCACAGGACGGTTGTCTTCGACCCATAGCTCCAAGGTGAATTTGCCACTTGCGAAAACACGGAGACCTACCCAGCGAGAACCAGGAAAGCAAGACACGCACACTGACGCCTCGGCGTGCAGAATGAAACAGGATACGGGCGCGGAACACGGCCGCGGAAGAACACCTCGCACAGTGCCGATCCGGCCGATCTCCGAACGGACGATTTCGCATTTCGTGGACAGCGAGCGCCACCGCACGGGAGAGAGAGGTACCTTAAAAACGACGAAAACAAGCACCGACACCTTGGTTCTTTATATTTGCTGTAGTTACGGAACAAATTGACTTACATGAATAATTTGAATATTATTCGATTCCGTAATAAATTTAGAAGACATTAAACGCAATTCTTCTTATGTTTGAATTTAGATAATTTTGTAAATTCGCTCCGAACGCAAGAGTGCCGAATTAGCCGATTTTGACCATTTTCATGATTTTTTTAAAGAATATAATTAAATTTATGACGAAACATCTGTTGCGTTTAGTGTCTCGATAATGACTCAATGTCTTTAAAGCCGAAATTTTCAAGAAGATCCGCGCAGCCGTTATTATGTGAGAATTTTTTTAATTTGGTGAAAAACCTCATGTATTCTCTATGGGGCTCTGAGGTGCGCCCCCTCTTAAAGCCGCTGTCACAGTGCCCATATACAGGACGTTGCCGAGAAAAAAGAGCCGGGTTTTTCGGCCCGGGTAAATAAACTATGCATCGAAGAACGCTTAAGCTCCGTGAGCATGTGAGCCTAGAGGTTAACATAGAACGTGAAAGTTTGAAAAGCGCACCGCTACCTGGATTAACATAAAATTGAGGAATACCAAATATCTCTTTCAGCTGCCCTTCACCTAAGCCTAATATCGTCAAAACAAGAAAAATGGCATTGTGGCTCTAGCATCAATTTCTGAAAAAAGAAAAACAGTCAGCGAGAAAAATACAACAATATTTTCTTTTTGCTTACGAGTAGTTTGCACTTACATAAATGCCACACGCAACCGCAATGTCATTTCTTGTTTTGACATTTTTAGGCTTAGGAGGTCGTCGGCTCATAAAGAAACTTGGCTATTCTCAATTATCTTTTGACCCAGGTAACGTCACGTTTGCAAACTTTCGCGTCCCATTTCAACCGCTTCCGTCACATTTTCAGACAGTTAAAACTCTTTGTTTATTTTTACGCTAGTCGAAAAAAACGTTTTTTTCCCTCAGAAACGCCAGGTAGTACATCATACAAAAGACAATCTGGAGACATGTTCGAAGCACACATATCTAAAAAAAGCGAACGTACTTCGAAAGCGCTTGAGGCGTGATCGCAGAAAAATCGGCCATCTTGTCTACAGCGCACCGTGGCTGGTGTACACTCTAAAAAAAGCCCGTGCGTCTACTTTCCCGCACAACACTCAGAGTGCCAATCACTGCAACTTGTGGAGGCAGCCCAGCGAATGACGATGCCGAAACATATGTATAAACCAAAACAAAAAAAAAACAAAAAAAAAAACGCAGTCTTAGCTGTGACATTAAGCAATAAACGAGTGACGTTTTGTATTCCTTAATGTCCCAACTCAGACTGCATTTCTCGGTCTAAACTCTAAACATATGTTTCAGTACCGTCATTGCTGAGTTGCCTCCAGAAGTTGCGGTGATTGGCTTTCCGAGTGTTGTGCGGGAAAATAGACGCACGGGCTTTTTTTAGAGTGTATGATGAACGAGCCGCATCGCTACGGTTTTATAAAGAACGGAGAATAGTCGGTATTGTGTAGGGTTCGCGTTTCACCGTGGTTGTTCAAGCACGTGTGATTGCGAGGTTACCAAGAGTTTCCTCTATCTGGTCTGCCCCTACTTGGAGGCAAGAATCGCAGCATCCTTGTGAGTATAATCTCGGCGAGGAGGCGCACTCTCGACCCCAGTTTGACTGAATAGCGGCGTTCCTCGAACCTCGGTGATTCCATCATCTATCTACACAGTGGGTTCTTGAACTGGCACACTCGTCCGACTTGCTCGCAACAATAAAAGGGATCGAAACATTCTAACCTTGTCGTATGTGAAACGTCCTTCAGATGGCGACTTCCGGATTTCAAGACGGCAGTAGTAACTTTCAGCACCTCCCTCAGGACCGACATATTTAAGACAAGAATTGGCGTAAGAATTTCTGAAAAAGAAAAAAAAAAAGGTTTTGTTCCGTGACTTTTGGCTGGTCCATCGAGAACGTTGATTATATCTGCCCGGAATCCCAACACCTAAACACTAGAGCGCGCTCAGAACACTCCCATATTTTTGCTTATATTGTCTTGTAAATGAATGATTGAATAAATAAGGTCCTCAACTGATGGTTCCTTTTTAATATCAAGAGAGATGGAAACAGGAGTGAAAACTGTAACAGAGACATCTTGACGAGACCCAGCTGCAAGGTGGCCATCACCAATGAAGGGTGACTGCCGAAGAAAGTGTATAGTATACAGTGTGTTTTTGCGCAAATGGCAAATTCCGCGGGTATATTTGGAACGGTTACGGAGCGCTTTTAATGCGAAAACATTAACTGTCCCATGCAGCGGAGCGGGCGTTGTCCGTAACCGAGAAAAACGTCAGAAAAATTCCCTCCCCGGAACGGCTCTTAAAACTGGCTGCGACGCGGCCCGCGCGCCGCCGCAGCAGTGCATACCCGCCGCTCGCTAAGCCCGACCGGCCGGCGTCCGTAGAGGCTTCCCGGCTGGCCTCGGCAGACGGACGCGCAGCTTGTAGGATTACGCTACGTGTACAAATGCTTTCGTATTCCTACACGTATGCAATCTTAAAAGGCCTCCTGTAATTTCTTTTCATTCTTATTTTTGCTTGCCGTATTTAACTAACCTGTCAATTTTATATGAAGTAGCCATAACTAATACAACCAGTACTTTGTACTCTTTAGGCGAAGAGGCCCTGTTATAAAAAATGAGATGTTTTTCCACTATCTTTTGCTGCCATTTTTATTTAGGTTGCAAAATATGCTTTTCTTGTTATCTTTATGCACGTGCAAACGCGAGCTGGCATTCGCAGCTCTAAACGCGCGAACATAGAGCGGTTTTCGATTGCTCCAAATTTAGCAGCGGAATTTAACTGCAGCAGAATTTAATTTCCGAACATTCAAATTTATCACTCTTAAAAATTCTACGATTTTTGGAACTTCCAAGTCTGCTGAGTTCAAAGGCTCGTCAAACTTCGAACTTCTGAACAAAATGTCGACCAAGTCCGAACCGGGTTCACCCCTAAAAGTTTGCGGCAAATAATAATAATAAAACACACACACACACATACACACGCGCGCAAGGTATGAATGTGTTGATTGGAGTGGAAATAGACCCTTTTCAAAAGTCAGAGTCCTCTTGTGGCAGTACAAAAAGCTCCAATATTGCCGCTCTAACGGCGGTGATAGGAGATCAAGCGCGACTAAATCAAGCACCCTCGATTTCGTGTATCGAAGCTGTCGTGAAACGGTCAACATCTTTTCCTTTTTCTGCTTTATGCTTTCGAAGACGTTCGATTTTTCTGGTGTGGAGAAACGGTGTAGTTCCGCCATTAGAGCGTCGGGTCTGGCTCCGCACAAGGTGGGTAGACTGACTTTCAGAAAGGGTCTATTGCACTGTAGTTTCAGTCGCTTATGGAAAAGCCTCGGCCTCGTAACTGGAACCTCCTTAAAGTGCCCATGAATCGATTTTCGGACTTCCGGCCAAATAATAGGGCGTTTGGGAATGCCCCTCAACTCATAGAATGTTTCCCAGGTCCCGTGCGCATGACGCGCCGTGGGGTACACGTTTCCAGTCTTTCTACAGCGAGAGCAGACTTTCCCCTCTCCCGTACCCCTCGCTCATGTGCCTTGCTCTTTCACTGTTGCTCCCGTGGCCCGTGGCTGTGCCCATTATTAGGCTGCTAAGACCGGTCATTTTGACGGTGTGGAATACACGTTGCAGAAGAACCTTGGAAGCCCGCTATCAGCACGCGCTCAGCAGTCGCTCACACAGCTATTAGCGGCGAGAAGTTATGGTGCCGCCCTCCTACGATTCCCCCTTGTGACGTCATTACCTTGCAAACAACAAGTTCGATGGTGCTTGTAAATAGCAGGGTGGAAGCTTGAAATCATAGCGCTCTCAAAGGAACACTGCCAACACCGTCAAAATTAAAGTTCTTTCATTCCTCCTATTTCCGTCGTTGATAAACCCTTTCCGACGTCATAAATCAGCGTTCGGCCAATCGTGGAAGGCCGACCACAGCGACGCTTTCGGTCGCGCTCGTCGCCAATAACCGCCAGTGATTAGTTCCTGTAGGGAGTATTCACTGGCGGCCATAGCTGTGTGCGCGAATGCTAAGCGCGTGCTGATGACGAGCTTCCACAGTTCTTTTGCAACGTGCATTTCGCACCATCAAGAGTGCCGGTCGTAGCAGCCTATTGATGCGAGCTCGGTGTGAGCATGCGCTCTAAACAGCACCCACAAATATGGCGTCCAGCAAATACTCCCTATACTCTGTTTCACCTTGTGTTCTACTCAGGGTGTCGAACCGGAACCGAACCGAACCGAAAACCGAAACCGAACCGGTATTTTTTCCGGAACTGAACTTGAACCCGAACCGTTATATTGTTATCGCGATGAACCCGAACCGGAACTGAACCGGAAACAAATAACGGTTACCGGTTCATGTCAAAACGGTTCGGCCACGCGCTGTTGGCAATGAATGTGCTATCAATGCCATTTGTTTTTTAAGTGCCGTCAACTGACACACACCTCGCTTACATATTTTTCTTCTCCACTCAGTCTTAGGAATATAAACGCTGCATCCATGAATCTTGACAAACGCTGCATCCATGAATTGGGTTGTGTGTGTGTTTATACAGCCTAGAACTTGGTCTGCCTCACAGGGGCGACGAGTCTCCCAGCTGTAGATGAGAAATTTAGCCAGTGCGGTACAGCCGCTAGCCTGGGGTCTTTAACGTGCATCACGCAGTAGTGATACACGACCGCACGCCGGTACGATACTCTTGACATAGGAACCAGTATTGCACTGGTCGTGGCTTACACGGAAAAAAGAAAATTGGAAGGCTGTGCAAAAAAAAAAAAAAAAAATCGCGTCACGGGATTTTATTTTCTTACAATCTCGTAAATCCTAAATGCTGCTGTGTGCTCATTTCATAACACGTTTCTAGAACGCGCGAGTTCTTGAAGCTTGCTTCCATCGGAATGAGAAAAGAAAAGGCTGTGGGAGTTTGATAATAATGCATCCGGTTTCGTATAGGCACCTAGAAGCTAACATATTTGTGAGACAGCGAACTCTTCTATTTTAATATTTATCCTATTACGTCCTTCTGGCGTTGCATTCGGTGAAGTGTTTTTCATATTCCGTATCTTGTTTAATGAAAACTTCTTTAAGGGTCTAATTTGAGTTACCGAAGGCAAGTTGAAATAAAGAAAGCTGTATTTTCTCCCCACTGTTCCTTCAATTGCTTACACGCCGAGGTGGCGGGATAGTTAGCGAGTTCTACTTGTAAGTGGGTTTGTAAGGAGGTCGCAGATTTTACAGCTACTGCGTCGGACCCAATTAGATGAAGTCCGAATGCGTAAACGTCGGTGATTTAACCTTTGAATGCACATAAAGACACCATTCCTGGTAGAAACCCCTGAGCCTTACACTACGATGTATTTCGTTTCGTATGTGCTGATTTCAGATGTTTTATTTTTAATTTATTTTGATGTTGCAATTTGTCATTTATAATTTCCGAACCGGTTCGCGAACCGGTTCAGCGCCCCGAACCGGTTCGCGAACCGGCTCGCGGGTCGGATTAATCGAACCGGAACTGAACCGGAACAAAATAAATTTACCTGAACCTGAACCGTAACCGAACCCGTATTTTTTTTGGTTCGACACACTGGTTCTACTGCAGGAAAGGCTACGAGTGCGAGCTCCTTGCTCTAGGGCACACCTCGGCGGCACAAGCTCTCGTGCACCCAGAACAGCTGCCAACGCTATGAGCTCGCGCTTCTAGCCTTCGCTGCGGTACCACATAAGGTGAAACGGAGAGTATATACTCTGTTTGATACTTAGTGTGCAACGCTGTCAAAGCTACTGGCGCGAGCATGGGGCTTGATATCGTTGATCACTTGCACGCGTTCTCGCGCAAACAAAACCAGATATGAAGCCACGCGCTCGCGCCAGTTGCTTTGATAGCGTTGCACGCTAAGTATGAAACAGAGTATAGTTGCAGGCAGGCGAACCAGGCGCGCGAGAAAGAAAACAAACCACGCAGCTGCCGAAACATGGTTTTTATAACGCGTTGATCACACCGCTCGTCCGCTAGCAGCCAGCCAACGTTGCTAGGCAGCGGAGCAGCGAGGAGGGGAGGCTTTGATTTACTCCGGATAGACGCCGCTGTGAAAACTTCGTGTACTGAACAAGAATATAAAATATTTGATTCATTTGTTTATGTTGGAACGAAATAATGTCTAAACGTTACCATTAAACTGAGAATATACTTGTTCAAAAGTGATCTCACTAACCGCACCGCCGTGACATCACAAAGTTAGTTCCTATGTCCGCCGTGCGTGAAGTCAAGTCAAGAAATAGTTCCTTTTTGTTTTTGCGGTTACGGAGCGCATTCGCGACATTTCGAGAGAAGTAGTCGTGTTTTATGGTCCGTGTGCTTAAGTAAACAAAAAAAAAGGGTAATAAGGTGCACGTTCTCTCGATGTTAAAATCCTTTCATAGGCCCTTTAACCCTTGCTTCGGCACAAAATTCCTCCCGTGTACAACTCCGTAAATTGACCCCAGGTAGCCTACGGGTCAACTGATCCCTGGTCTGCAGGTTTGAACTTCAACCGAGGCACTCTGTCGTTAGGGCCCCTACACACAGCTGCGTTTGAGAGCGTTTGAGTGCGTTTGACTGCGTTGCGTCGAGAAACGAAAGCCAGTCACCGGCAGATCTGTGCTTCGTATGAAGTGTGGAATCAAATTCAAGGAGTTGCTTGGCACGTGACATAAGAAGCAGGGATTTCCTGGTTTCTTGTAGCCGCAACGCAGTCAAACGGGCTCACACGCAACAGTGCGAAAAAAAGGGGGGGGGGGGGGCGGTGCTTGGGGGGCTTGGGGGATTGGTGGCCGAGTGGCCTTGCGCACACCAGCTAGGGG